CCTCAACATAATCCCCAATATGCTGTTTAACAGAGAATCAATTTCTTTCTTTCAAGCTTTTTTTCCATGTCTTTTCAAGATCCCAAAAGTTGATCAATCCACTCCCTACAAACAGCCTTAACCGAATACTTCTTGTTTAAAGCCATTCAAAGGACAAAAACAGTAAGATACTTCACTTTGAAAAATCAAAAGCTACCTACAAATTAAATTTTTATCAAGAAATCATTTTTCCAATAATTTCCTCAAGTTTACAACCTCAGATTACTTCTTCAACTTAAGACAGAAAAAGGAAAGAGAAAGACAAGTGCTGAAATAATTTATTTTAGCAGGATTAGCACAAGGCTAGCTGGTCCTTTGGAGGCAGAGGTTAAAGATGTCCCAAATGTCCAACTTTTCTAAACTACTGTACCATTCCATCATTTCTAACATCAACTCCTCCTCCTCCCCCATCAGTACTCTCCTTCCTGTCTTAGGGTTCTGTATTTCACTGTAACATCTCATAGAACTCACAAACTGCCAAGGAAATGACTCATGTGGTGGTGGACAGTGGGAAGCTGGCAAGTCCCAACTCTGTGGACAGGTCTGGAGAATTCTCCTCATTTGCATGGTTGCAGGGGCTGGTGAACCAATATTGGAGGGTCAGATGACTGCTGCTGTCTCAAGTCCAGGGGTGAGAGGATGAACCAAACGTAGGACTAAAGTGAGAGAGCGAACTTTCCCAGACGGTTCATGTACATACCCTCAAGGAAACTAAGGATGTGACTTGAGTCACAAGCTCCAGCAAGGTGAGACTCAAGATTCACCCTACTCTAAAGAGGAAAGAAAGTAGGATTTACAATACATCGCAAAACAGGGGACTATGGCTAGAAGGGCCATAATGACCAATTCACTGCACTGCAACAAGCATCAACAACCTTACTTCCCATATAATGCCAGAAGAAAACCGAATGCCCATCCAGAGAACAGCAAACTTGAAGCAGGAAAGTGTGACCATGGTGGGCACTCCTGAGATCAGACACTCTCAGGGCTCCAGAGCCAGACATGGAACATGTAATCAAAAGGAAGCCTGCCACAGCCTAAAGCCTTCTTCACACTTTCCTCTGATCAAGTCAACATCCTAATTTTAAAATTTTCTAAATCTGAATTACAAATAATAAAAGAAGAGAGAACAGTAGCTACAGCAGGGTCGAGCCACCTACTGTCATCAAGTTGATTCCAACTCATGGTGATCCTACAGGATAGAACAGAACTGCCCCACAGAGTTTCCAAGGTTGTAAAATTTTATGGAAGCAGACTGTCTTCACAAAGTACCAAGCTTTTTGGTCAGCAGTCAAAATGCCTTAACCACTGCACCACCAGAGCGCCTTGAATTTCAAATAAAAGGCCTTGAATTTGCATGAGGCAAGGTCATGGTCTCCTCTTAGTTTTTGAGGACCCAGTTGAGTATGAAAATTTTATTAACCTCCTTAAAAATGGTACATGCTTTCAAAGTTACTTGAAAATTTAGGTTAAATGACATAACCAAAAACATTGAATGTAAAACATATGCTCGGTAGCATCTGAAAGAATAAAGTACCTAGGAATAAATTTAACCAGGAAAGTAAACAACCTGTACACATATAACTATAAAACACTACTAAAAGAAGTTAAAAAAAACCTAAATAAATGGAAAGACAATTTCTGTCTGTGGACTGGAAGGCTTAATATTTGTTAAGACAGCAATATCACCCAAAGCAATCCGTAAATTCAAAGCAATTCCCATCAAAGTCCATGAGCCTTCCTTACAGAAATAAAAAAGTGAATCCTCAAATCTATTAAAAAAAAAAAAAAAAAACACCACAGCGGACTCTGAAAAGCTAAAGCAACCTTAAAGAAAAATAAAGTAGGAAGACACATATTTCTTGATTTCAAAAGAAACTATTAAGCCACAATAATTAAAACAGCCGGGTACTTATGTGGGAATAGACATATAGACCAATGGAATAGAATCAAAATCCAGAAATAAATTTACATATCTATGGTCAATTGATTGTTGACAAGAATGCGAAGACCACTCAATGTGGAAGGAAGTCTCTTCAATAAATGGTACTGGGAAAATTGGATTCCCACATGCAAGACAGTAAGTCAGGATTCTATGCCTCACACCATAAACAAAAAACAATTCAAAATGGATCAAAGACCTAAATGTGAAAAATAAAACCATAAAATTCTTAGAAGAAAATGTAGGGGTGAGGTTGTGGTACCCAGAGTTCAATGAAAGATCATCAACTATGATGACAAAAGCTTGAGCAGGAAAACACAAAATAGATAAATGAGACCTCATAAAAAGTAAATACTTTTGTACGTCATCAACAAAGTGAAAAGACAACCTACAGATAGAAAACCTCTACAGCTTAACAAAAAGGCAAACAACCCAATTAAAAAACGGGAAAGAGACTTCAACAGACATTTCACCAAAGAGGATATTCAACTGTCCAACAAGCATACATGAAGAGATACTCAACATCCTTAGCCGTTGTTGTTGTACATGTCTAGTCGACTGCAATTCATAGCAACCCTATAGGACAAAGTAGAACTGATCCAAAGGGTTTCCCAAGCTGTAATCTTTATGGAAGCCAATAATCACATCCCTCTACCAATGATTAGCTGATAGGTTCCAAGGAACAGCTGGTGGGTTTGAACTGCTGACCTCTAGGTTAGCAGCACAGAGCTTAACCACTGCATCACTAACTTCAAAGACATGGTGAGACCTATGTGAAATTGCTCACTACAGATGAGGAAACACAAGTCAACCCATGCTTACTTTGCTTACTGAGTACTCTGGCCCTGTCAGGGAGCATAAATATGTAAAAAAAGCTTTGACTCTGTAGGAAAGTACTGTGGGGTTTGGAGAGGCAGATGCCAGCAAAATCTAGAAGCAGAATCTCTGATACAGTGAAAAAATGAGAAGTTGTTCACTACAGATAGTAAATAAGTACAAGTACACAGGTGCTACCTTGCTTATTGAGTAATCCAACACTGCCCAAAGGCAACAAAGGGAGAAACACAAAAAGAAACCTGTACACCAATGTTCAAAGCAGCATTGTGCACAACAGCCAAAATGATGGAAAAAAACAAAATGGCCACAGACAGATGAATGGATAAACACAATTTGATCCATATACTCATACAGTGGAGTATTACTCAGCCATAAAGGAAAATGAAGTCCACACCACATGTATCAACTTTGAAAAATCATGCTAAGTAGAGTAAGTCAGTTGCAAAAGGGCAAATGCTGTATGATCTCACATAAAATAAGCAAATATACAGAAACTAGAGTATCAGCAGTTACCATGGGTGGAAGGGAGGAGAAAAAAGGGTAAGCTTTTGCTTGTTGTTGTTGTTATGTGCCGTCGAGTCGGGCCCCGACTCATAGCGACCCCTCCTTGGGTTTCCGAGGCAGTATCACTACAGAAGTAGGACTGCCCAATCTTCCTTCCGAGGAGGAGTGGCTGGTGGGTTTGAACCGCCAGCCATCTGGTTAGCTTGGGTGCATAGAAATAAGCCAAATGTTTAGCAGCAAACTTTAATTTTTACCATAATTGAGAAGCAACTGAAGATGCACACATAAAGAACTTGCTTCACCTGCCCTTGACTGTAAGCTCCAGGTTTCAAGCAGCACCAAGTAGTAACATGGCATTTCAATAGTGTGTTTTCATTAGGGAAGCACTGTGTCTGGTAATATCCTGTGGGATGACCCTATGCCTTTTGGTAACCTAGTTTCCTCAACAGCTGAGACAGCTGTTCTAGAAAACAAATCACCTCATCAAGAGCCTTCAAACTGCACAGCTGTAGAGACAGGAGGTGCCAAGTTCACAGAGACCAGGAGAGACAAACTGGAGGCCAGGCACTGGTTGCTGAAATCTCAGTTGAAGATGCTTTCCATAACTAGCTTCCACACTGAGAAAAGACCCCACCCTTCTGACCGTTCTTTATGGCACAGAGTTTCTGTTAGGATGTGAAAAAGCCTAATCAACTTAAGAGAGCAGCCCCTAACGTTCCAGGCATGCTCTGAACCTGAACTCTTTTTTCTTTGGGACATTTAGGTTCCCTGGTCTTCCCCAGAGATGCAGACAGATGTGTACATGAAAGTTACTGGGAAACTACACAGCCCTTCGAAGATACCAGGAAGTACTCTAAAGAACGTATTTGGAAAGCTTCACTTAATTTACATGTATACAGAACTGTCAAATAAGTGAACTGTAAATGGTGAACGGTAAACTCTACGGTATGTAAGTATTTCAATTAAGCTGCCAGAAAAAAATTAAATAATGAGCTTCCAAACTGACAACAGTTAAAAACAGTACTCTTTAGGATAAAGGCCAGAGTTTAGCTCAGGTCTGTTTCCACTTCTCAAACGTAAAGAACATGATTGGCTGCTAGTACTGACAGAACAAACTAAACAACTACTTGTTGTGCAATCACTACATCTTAAAGCCTTCATCAGAAAGAAAATTCTTGAGAGAACATACTATCATTATATCAAATTATATTAGTTAAAACAGCCAACCAAGAAAAACACAGCAACAAAGTACGATACCAAAACGTTTGAGAATATTTTCCCAATGTAAATCCAGCCATTTCATACACTGTACTCCATCTCCAAGGGGCTTGTAAATCATGTGTACGGGAAGAAAGCCCCTTCGCCCAATTCCCCAAACCATTCTCACAGAGGGGTGTGTCTTAGCGCAAAAAAAAAAGCCCTCAGGAGCGATTCCCAGGCTGCAGCTTTCGGAGCTGCCCTTCCACACCCGCCACCGAAATGCGCAGAGGCCAGCCGGGCTCCATGACTCCCGACGGCCACGCGGAAGGGGCCCGGCCCCGCGCCCGAGAAAGCCCGGGCACTGCTTGCTCGCAACCGCGCGGGGTAGAGGCCCGGAGCTGTGCAGGCCCTCCCCAAGGAGACAGACTTCCCGAAATGGGTGACTGGCCCGCCCACCTGGACCAGGGGCATCCAGTACCTCATGCTGTAGGCGCCGGCGCCTAGCTCCTGCCCGATGCCCGAGAGACTGGCGTCGAAGTCGTGCACCAGCCCAGACTCAATCACCTCGTCCATCTTGAGCACCCAGGCCATCTTCCGGCCTCACAGCCGCCCGGCGCGCAACGCGGCCTCCGCGTCCGGGACGAAGGGGCCGGAGTTCCGCGGGCGCGTCCTGGGGGAGGGCGCGGGTGAAGCCTCCGGCGGCACGGCGAATGGTCACCAGCGGCGGCACGGGTGGCGGCCAAGGCGGGAGCGACCAGAGCCCCACGGACAACGCCGGGCGAGCCCGGCGAGCAGCTGCAGCGGGAGCGGCCGGGCCGCCGGCAGCACCTCCCTCCCGCGGGGACCGGCCGCGCGCCTCATGCCGCCGCCGCCCACCCAACGCACCCGGAGCTGCTAGAACTGCAGCCGTCGCCGCCCGTCCCGCCCCGGGGCCCTCGGCCGCATCCTTCCCTTATTGCGCGGGGCGGAAGCTCAGCCCGCAACGATGACCGCACGGGGCCGAACCCTCGGCCCACCCGCAACCCGCGCCCCGACCTCGATCCCAGCCCTCAGCCCGCCCGCCCAGGCTCTGCGGCCCGCCGCCCCGGCCAACCCCGCCGCCGCAGCTCCGCCGACCCGATGGTGGCTTCCACTCCTGTTCTAGCTTACTCGCCGCTTCCGCCTACTTCGACCCCGCCCCAGCCCCGCCCTTCATTAGCCCCCGCTTTGGCCCGCCTCTAAAACCCCGCGTTTGGGAACACTCCGCGCTCCCGCTGCGGGGAAACGGTACGGGCAGACCAGCACAGCCCCGCCCACGCCTTTCCTTCCTTGCTCCTGCTGCCACGAGGGTTCGGCTCCCACCAGCCCAGGAAGAGGCAGTTCCAGAATGGGAAGGTTGTGCCCACCCCCTCCAAAGAGACAGAGAAGAGATGATTGACAACCAAACTGGTTAATAACGACTAGGCGAGCTAGGACGAGGCTCCCGTGAGTCTCTTTGCCTCGAACGTACACAACCAATCAAAATGTTCTCCTTGGACGGATTCGAGGACCGAATTTGCTGCCTAAAGAGAAAGTTCATTGGACAATACCTTAGGGAAGCACTCCCAAACGCCACTTCCGTACGTGCTTCTCTCCGCTGTGAACTTTCCCGGTAGTCTCTGCATTTTACCTTTACCCCGGAGAGGGAAACTAGTTGTGAATCTTAGCCAATTAGCTCTTACCCTATTTCAGAACTGGAAAGCCCATTGGGCCGAAAATCTTGATTGGCAGGAGTATAAGTCAATCTGCGCTCCAGAAAGCGCTCCGGAAAGTCTTAGCCCAAGTGCCGACTGCAAAGAGCAGTATGGCGAACCTGAGTTAAACTAGGGTATCGGTTGCAATAAAGGACTGAAATTTTCTGATTTTTGAGTTCCAGGCCGTTAGAAAATACCACAGACAGAATGATATCCCTCAGCGACCCAGCCCTCCCAGGGGAATGAAAACAAATCCCTTTCCCCGAGGGAGGCGTAAGAGAAAGGAAGAGGCTTAGGCGGCATTTGCAGGCTCGCATACGGATTAGTGTTCCTCAGATTTGGCTCTCGTAGCTCCCAGGGGGGAATTCCTGGTGGAGAGAAAGTCAAGGCCTTTGCCTCAGAATAATATCCAGATGCTGAGCACTAGTACCCCTGCCCACTACCTCACTCACTAGTTAGTGCTGAAACTCTCTAACTCAGATCTGCTTGGGAAAACTGATTCTTTGCCGGGGGAAAAAAACTCATACTCCTCTGTGATTTAAACGTTACCAAATCACAGCATATTTTTCTCTTTAGAAAACATTTTTGCAAACATCTCACTGTTAATAGCTACCAAAGTAAATACAAAAGAGAACTTTTTACAGATGCCAGAATTCCCTGAAAATACCTGTTCAAGGTCACACAGTGGCTATGCCAGGCCCTTTTGACAACTCAGATCTCTGTGGTTCCAGGCCAAAACACAGGCCATCAGCTCAGAAAGCGCTATTCAACTATTATAAATAAATCTGCAGTAACAGATAGTCGATGGACACACAATTGGGCTTTCCTACTGAAGGCCTAGATACGTCTCCATTCCTATGGACACTCTCCTATCCAGTGACCTCAGACCTCACTCCCATAAACTGGTCTGTAACCAGATAAAAGTCCAAACCGGTTGCAGCTGAGTCAATTCAGACTCATGGTCACTCCATGTGTGTCAAAGGACTAAGGTAATTCTCTGATTCCTGGGAATAGTATAATCGTCCAAACCACCATCAAGTCCTTAATCAGCCTATGACCTAAGACAGTACACTTAGAAGCAAAGTCCCAGAAATCTAAGAAAATATTAGTTAACTATACCTGAGAAGCAGCACAGTAACACGAGCTATTTCCTTGAGTCCAACCCTCAAGAAACAATAACCCAAGAAAGGTTGATGGATATGAGAAACTAATGAAAAAACTAAAACTCCTGGGGCCATCAGAGGTGGTTGAGTCTTGGGAACAGCAGCCCAGAACAGAAGAGGTCCAGGTTCTGCAGACTGGGATGGCTTTGGGCAAAGGATGTCAATTGTACATATTTTTCCCTCTGACTTAGAATTTCTCAGGAATAAAAGCAAAGCAAAGAAAGACGACCACAAAAGGAAAAGAATCTTAGAATCCCAAACAAGATACAGGAAAGGGGGGAAAAAACCTACATATGACATTAAAAACTGAAATTATCCTAAAAATGTACATACAGAAAGCAGATCATCAACAAAGGAACTATAATCCAAAATGAATGTTTGGAGATAAGGGAATAATTCAAAGTATTGAAGATCTTTAGAACTTACAACCCAGAATTTTATATCCAGCTTAACTCTCATTTATGTAAGAGTTAAACAAAGGTATCTTCAGGCATACAAAGCATCAAAAGATTTACCAACAATGATCTTTGAAAACACAGAGCAAGTACTTCAACAATAAGATACATAAATTGAGGAGGGCACAATTGAGGAGGGCACGAAAAGAAGGGTAAGTAAACCAGTAAAGATCCCTGTTTTATAAACAAGGATGTATGAGTAACAAATTATATATATAACAATTTACAATATTCTAGATAAGGGCAGCATAGGGGAAGAAAAGGCCAAAGAGAGGTAAAACCATGTAACATACTTTTACTTGCAAGCTCTATAACAGCTAAAGAGTGTAGCCAGTTTTTGTGGATTTTTGTTTGTTTGTTCAATTGGGATAAAATTCACCATTGTAACCATTTTAAAATGTAGGGTGAGTTGTTTTTAATATATTCACAATGCTGTCCAGCTATCACTATTAATTATAGAACATTCCATCATCCCAAAGAGAAACTTGTACCTATCAGCAGTCCTTCCCAATTCCCTCCTTTCCTCCTTACCCCCATCTCCTTGCAATCACTGATTTATTTTCTATCTCTATGGATTTGCTTATTCTCGACATTTAATAATAAATAGAACCATTCATGTCTTAATTCTCTAGTGCTGTTATAATAGAAATACCACAAGTGGATGGTTTTAACAAACAGAAATTTATTCTCTTACAGTTTAGGAGCCTGGAAGTCTTAGTTCAGAGTGCTGGCTCTAGGGGCTATGTGCAGGACCCTCAACCTTGGACTTCAACCCTGCCTCTTGTTCTATGCCCACTGAAGCTGCTGGCTGCTGAGGCTGATGAACCCAAGATCAGCAGGTAAAGTGACATAATCCCAAGATTAGCAGGCAACACAGTAAGTGACAGGTTCAAATCCAGGAAATAATAAAGACTCAGCCAAATGCTGGATCCAAAAGGTGCCAAAAAGCTAGAGACATTTCCTGAAACTTCCCTACACCCTGATGATAACTCCTCTTCAACTACTTAGCTGCTCACAGCAGATTCCACCATGGAAGTGATTAGAATCTTATCATGGGGATTAACGACATCCAGCTGCCAAGCCAGTCAAACCCATAGCCCAGCCAAGTTGACACATCCTTAACTACCACAATACAATATATGGCCTTTAGTGTGAAAAAGTGGTGTCTTTCACTTATCCTGTTTCCATAGTTAATTTGTGTTATAATATGTGTTAGAACTTCATTACCTTTGATAGCTGGATAATACTCCATTTTACATATATATCATATTTTGTTTATCCATTTATCTGTTCCTACTACTCATCTATCAGTTTATCATACGGTGGTGGCTTCCATGTTGCTGTGAGACTGGAGGCTGTGCCACTGGTATTTCAAATACCAGCAGGGTCTCCCATGGTGGAAAGGTTTTAGCAGAGATCCAGACTAAGACAAACTTGGAAGAAAGAAGGGGCCATCCATTTCTCAAAGTATTGGCCAGTGAAAACCTTATGAATAGCAGTGAAACACTGTCTGATATATTACTGGGAAACTTTATGGATAGCCCTGAAACATTGTCTGATATAGTGCTGGAAGATGAGCCCCTCAGATCAGAAGGCACTCAAAATATGACTGAGGAAGAGCTGCCTCCTCAAAGTACAGTCAACCTTAATGATGTGGATGGAGTAAAGCTTTTGGGACTTCCATTTGCTGATTGGGCACGACTCAAAATTGGAAGAAACAGTTCCAAACAGCCATTAATAATCAGAACGTATAACGTACAAATTATGAATCTGAGAAAATTGGAAATTGTCAAAAATTCAATGGAACACATAAAGATTGATATCCTAGGCATTAGTAAGCTGAAATGGATTGGTTTTGGACATTTTGAATCAGACAACTATATGATCTGCTATGCCAGGAATGACAAATTCAAAAGGAATGACATGGCATTCATCCTCACAAAAAATGTTTCAAGAGCTATCCTGAACTACAGTGCTATCAGTGATAGGATAATATCCATACCTCTACAAGGAACACCAGTTAATACTACAATTATACAAATGTATGCACCAACTACTGAAGCCAAAGTGAGGATATTGAAGATTTTTACCAACTTCTGCAATCTGAAGTTGACCAAACATGCAATCAAGCTGTATTGATTATCACTGGTAATTGGAATGAGAAAGTTTGAAGCAAAGAATCACAAGCAGTTGGAAAATGTGTCCTTGGTGATAGAAATGACGCCAGACATCATGATAGAATTTTGCAAGACCAACAACTT